ATAATATGATTTTGAATGAGCAAATGATTTTATGGTAATATTCTTCCAATGAAAGTAAGAGATTTTGAATTTAAGTTACATAACATATGATTACATATGAGTAGAATAAACTAAAGGATGTTAGAGAACTATTTTTTATTATATAATTCATCATTTGATGTATATATATATATATATATATAGAGAGAGAGAGAGAGAGAGAGAGAGAGAGAGAGAGAGAGAGAGAGAGAGAGAGAGAGAAAGAGAGGAGAGAAGAGGAGAGGTGTAGCACGAGTGTATATAAATAGAAAGAATCCTAGAAATTAATTGTAGTAATTAATACAAGAGATACAAAGAATCATACCAAACATTGGATAGAGAACTAGCCGGTAATATGATTAGAAATAGATTCAGTAGGACTGAACTTCCTTAACAAAGACTATATGAAACCCAAAAAAATATTTCCCTTTTTTCTTCTTTATCTTTCTCATCTCCCTAATTTCTAATCTGAGAGAGGCAAAAACAGAACAGAAAAAGCAAAAAGGAAAGGACAGAGCAACGGGAAAAGGTGCTAGCAAGAAGCAAGAACAAGTGGTGATGGAAGAAGGAATGAAGGAGAAAAGATGAAGAAAGCTAAAACTGGTAAACGATGCCAGAGAAGAAAACAAAGCTCACTAAATGTCCAGGAGCTCAAAGAAGCTCCAGAGAATGCCAAAACTGTAATTGTTCTTGCTTAAATGACCTCAGCTGCATTTTTATTTCATATGGAATCCCCTACTCTAATTTAACCATTTTTTACTGTTTCTCATGTTTGCATGGAAGCAATTAAAAACTATTTTTTTGGTTAAACCCGCAATTTGATCCTTTAACTATTGTACAGATCTCTAAGTTGGTTTTAAAATTAAAAAATCTCTGATTTTGTCTCCAAAGTTTTTAAAATTATCTTCAAATTAGTCAATTCATTCAAAAACAGTTGATTTGTCATGTTAATAATATGATACGTGATCATTAAATAACTATTTTTTATCATTAAGTAATGAACACATCAATTATTTTTTAATGAAATGACTAAATTGGAGCCAAATGTAAAAACATTAAGAACTAAATCGGGGATTTTTTTAGTTTAGGAATAAATTTAGGAGTTTGTATAATAGTTGAGGGACAAATTAAGGGTTTAACCTCTTTTTTTTTTTTTTTTAGTTTTTTTTTGAATCCTAACCATCACCACTCCACGCATGATAAGATCCTCCCTTAAATCCATTTCGTCCTTCAGAATCTCAACCTTGGTTTCAGTTAAAAGTATGGGGCATCGATGAAGGCCCATTCGAAAACCTGCTCGTATTGTTGGGCACACTTTCCCATGTAAAGTCCCTCTTTCATCCCTCTCCTCATCAATCCTTCCCAAAATTTTTTATGATCTCTGTAGGTCAGTATATTGCAGTCTTTACCGCCTGTTGTGGAAGACATGGTAAAGGTACAAAAAGGGGTCAAGTAGATCTAAAAGATCATTCTTGTAGTGCAAAAAAGAAATAACTTGCACCCCGTAGGGTGAAGTGTCTAGATATTTGATTTGCAAACTGAAAGTATGAAATTGGTGTAAGGTTAAATAGAGATATTTTTTTTTGCACAGCGGTTAAATAGAGATATTGGATGCATAATAAAATGGCTTACGCACCCCACCATGCTTTTTTTTTTTGCAAGTGGAGAAAACAACCACCTGTGACAGTGAATTTCATAACATCAGTTGATGACTACACAATACTTTTATGTCGAACGATTAACAATCACGAATATTGCAAAGAAGTTGAGGTCAAACTGTATGTCGTACGTAGCCTGTAGCTTCTTCACCACTACCTCCTTCAGCATATGGATTGAAATTCTGAACCGAATCTTGAAACGATAAAAAGTATACAAAATGATAAGAATCTTGGGATTTTTTTATCTAAGAATGTAAATTTTGTTTACTCTTAAATAAGATAAAAATTTTTAAATTTTTTTATTTAAAAATATTAACTTTATATCTATTCTATTTAAATATATAAGTTTTGTATTTTTTTTAGTTAAGGATTAATTGAGTGGCTAAAAAGGTCATTTAACACATTAGAATCAATATCTAATTAATTTTTAAATAAAAAATATATAAAATTAACTATGTTGAATAAAAAAATTAAAAATTTACTATTTTAATTAAAAATTAATAAAATTCACATTTTAAATAAAAAAATTACAAAATTTATATTTTTATTTGCAACTTTTCTCTTGAAACAAGGAACGCTAGATACATTTCAAAAAAACTTAATGAAAGACAATGGCCAGGAGTCTCTCTTTTCTGTTTTTAGCTCACTCGTCTTCCTCCTGTGGCAAGGATTACAGGGAGTTCCATATCTCATTGCATACAACTGCTTTAATCCACAGGGTTCGAATCTTGGGGACATGCATCAACAGTATGTGGCAACTACTCATTTAAAAACTTTCAGCAAGTTGTTAGTATTTTTATGAGTTATTATATGCATCATCATCTAGGTTTTTTTTTCTCTTTTAATCTCCTAAAATATTTAAAGGATTAATTAAAATTAATTATTAATAATAAATTTATATTTTTAAGTAAAATACCACGAAAAAAAGTGATGTACACCACCCGCTCACGCCTGTGGGCTAAATGTTGACACTACAACATGGTGTGATGTTGAACATAGTCAGGACAGCGAATCTGATGGTGGGAGGTGTAACTCGCACTAAGATGTAATGCAAACGGCATCGGCTGAAAAAAAACTGGATGTTTATGGCCCCGACTTCAACACATCTTATGGATGGCCCATTAACACTTTTAGGGAAAAAATGGTTTTTTTATCTGGGCCCAATACAATTGAGCCCCGCTTGGCCCATTTAAAGGAAAACCCACGCTTGAGTTTCACTACAAATTAGGGGTATATTGACTCCGAGTACAGCCGGTTACTTATAAGTGCTCTAGTTATTTAATTATCATATTTGAACCGTAGAAAAATTAGTAATGGATATAAAAATTAGTGTGGTACCAAATATAAATTTTTAAGTATTTTAGTAAGTAACACATCTAAAAAGTTATATCTAAAAGTTTTCCAATACCAATCATAACTTAGAGCGAACCTATACTTAAAAATGCTTACCCTACTACAAAAATTGATTCTTTTTTTGGCCCAATCACTACAAACATTGATTCCCCAAAATAAGAGGGGATCAACTTACACTAGTGTAGGTTTAAGAAACTTTTAGATTAATTTCTAGTCACCTAATTTAAGATTTAAGGGGTTGTTTTAAAAATTCATTGTACTCATTACTAAAATTTTAAAATAAATATCTAAAAATTAGTGTATCACTTATAGCAATGTAGTTAATCATTACTCTATAAATTGCAATTCATGAACAATAATAACAACATCGAGGGATTTTAAAGCAATTTAATTATTAGTAAAGACAATGCTACATGTATTTGCAATGTCATATATGATTAAAAGTTCACAATTATAATATGATTTTGAATGAGCAAATGATTTTATGGTAATATTCTTCCAATGAAAGTAAGAGATTTTGAATTTAAGTTACATAACATATGATTACATATGAGTAGAATAAACTAAAGGATGTTAGAGAACTATTTTTTATTATATAATTTAAAATAATAAAAAATATATATATATGTAATTTTATATTATATTATAACTATAAGATTATTTATTATAATACAATATCATAAAAAGTGTTGGGCTGGTCAGAACATAAAGATCCAGCCCAACGTTGTCCGCACCACCTAAGCACGTAAACAAGCAGCTGCATGGGCAACGTATATCTAAATAGTTAATGGAAGGAAGGCTCCCCTCTCACAAAGTGAACAGTATTCTTTCCCCCTCTCATAACGTAAAATTTTTTTTTTTTTCCTTCACTGTTTCTTTCTCCCCTTCTCCATTATACTCTGGCCTTTTGGTTTTTTTACAAAAATATTTATGTAGTTTACTTTTTAATCTTTGAACCTTGTATACACAATTTATACATGTTCTAGAAGGTTGCGGCCTCTCGTCATGTAAGACTGTAAGTGGCAACCCACCCACTCGGCTCGGGTCTGTTAAGGATCATTTTTTATGTTGGTGTCTCGACAAGGAACTTTTTTGGTGTTCGTGTAACCTATACTTGCTTCTTTTTTTTCTTGTGATCTAGACATACTTCCTTTCGTTCTTTTTTACTTTTGACGTTTCAATCCCAAGACAGTACCTTTTATGTTTCCGTTTCTGTTTCTATTCCAATGGCGCTCCTTTTATGTTTCTATTTCTGTTTCAATCCCAAGAAATAAAACTATTGTGGTGGCTAACTTTTTCTTTGATCACATGGCATGTTTTTTTAGTTGCAAGTGCAATTCGCCTGGCGGTAAGTCAGAATAAATTTTGTTGTATTCCTTGATTATTCAACATATATAGGCAGACATGAATAAGCCGATGATGAATCTTGGAGGTTAGTCAGCTATAGCAAATTCTCGAACGGCACCCACACCGACCAACCGATCCTCAGCACATTGACTAAAGATAACAACTGCCGTTTGTTTTTTGTGACTGCAAAAGTTCGTTGAGTTATAGATCAAATTAATTAACATCCTCTTGGGTTCAGCAACGACTTAATTAAGTAATTTAATAAAATCTTTTTTTTTAATGAAAATAAAAAATTATAAACTCAAATCGTATGATATATAAGTAGAGTAAATTAAAAGATGAAAAAGATTACATTCCATTATATTACTCCAAAAAAAGAAAAAAATCCTTTCAGGTTCACAAGTTTTGAACTTGGTTCCATTTCCTTGCAATCATAAAAATCTCAACCCATATCTCTTGCTTAAGGCATTACCCATATAAAAAGGGTGTTGTCCATTATTTCATTTATTTTGTTGCATATATACAGTAAAAATGTACTTTATGTAGGAGTTAAGTGTACTTTCCAAGGTAACCACACATGAGTAGTAAGTGCAATATGTCCTAAAATAATTTCATAGCACAATATTAGCAATTCAATTATCATTACTTTTTCACCCATAATATGGCTTTGTAAAGGTAGCACTTACTAATTTTAAAATTTTTAATTTAGGTTTAAGGTTAAAGATTTAAATTTTTACAACCTCAAACAATTAATCCTTCCATTGACAAAAAAAAAGAAAGAAAAAAGAAGAGGATAATGATGCATGCACAGTCCCACACCACACACTCTGTTATATCCTTCAATTTTCGTTATTTACCGTTAATCACACTTAATTTCGTTACCATCTCCTCAGCCATCTCCCAACTCAACAAACCCTTTCTGTCCTCACCAAAGCCATCTTCCTCCTCACCTCCATCCTTATCCTAATCATCTGCAAGACAATTGTCGGCCTCTCCCAAGTTCCCACGTTCTTCATTTTTTCTTTTTTTTTTTTGTTTTTCTGGAGAACCCGACCTGGGTTCTTGTTCTCGTGGAGAACCCAGAAGAAAAAAAAAAAAAAAAAGAAGAAGAAGGTGGGAACACGGTGTATAAAATGGAGATTAACGAAGTTTGAAAGTTAACGGGAAAAGAAGTGCGTAACGGAAGTGTGGTACGAATGTGTGTGTGCCAATCATGGTCCAAAAAACAATATTATCACTTTTTCTATTGTTAACACCAAAGATTGCGTTACATCCCATCATGAGATATTGTTGATCCACTTTGATCCATAAACCTTATGGTTTTGTTCCTAAAAGGACCCTCCTGGGAGAAAGGTTGATCCTTACTTTATTAGTCACAATTGTTCTTGATTTAATTATATTTGATATGAGATTCTGATATCACTCCACTATTACACTTAACTTCTCTCAAGAGAGTTGTGATGTAATAATTTGTCAATTTGTCAAAATGTATTGTTAGATTCCACTGGCGGTACCAATGTTAACACCAAGAATTGCATTGTGTCCCACCAGGAGATATCATTTGCTTTGACCCTTAGACCTAACAGTTTCGTCCCTAAAAGGACTTATATAGATAGGAATTGATCTCTATTTATAAGTTATAATTGTCCTTGATTTACTTGTATTCAAGAGAAAAAACCAAGAACAAACATAATTTTTTTTTTCTTTATCGGCAAATAGAAAAAATTTTATTTAGAAGGATCCAAGGGGTAGCCTACCTATTTACAAACTCTACTATTACTGCATAAGTGAAACAAAACCAACCTTGGTTCGGCCTTCTACATCTTATACACCTTATGTATGTTGTGGGCAAATTTTCCATATAGTTCTAGAGATAATCCGGCTGTAGATTTGACTTTAACCAATAAAATGATCTGTATTAACAAGTTCCATTACCTCATCAATCTTGTTCTCCTTGCCTTCGAAGATTTTCTGATTTCTCAAGTTCGAGATAGACCATATCACCACCGTGAGCTAGATCACCCAGGTTATAAGCCGCCTGCGTTGTTTAAACTGGCCAATTCCTTCACCTTTTGATGCTGTTGATATTCCCCACCATATGTAAACCAGCCCAAATTTCCACACGATTTGGCATAAGTGCAAAGGACAAGCACAGATCCAAAATAAGTAAAATGATCACAATACCCTAAGAATTTTAGAGTTCGAAGGGCAAAAATGGGATTCAACTGTGTCTCTCTTTTCCACCAATTTATACCCCCCTTGCTCGCCCTCATTTCTTCAGCAACCTTATGCCTCCTTGCTCTCTCTCTTCACTTATACACACCATGGCTCTGAAGAAATTTTTCTTTACTGTTTTCATCTTTGCAGTGACCATCATATTTCTACTAAAAATCCAGTCTTCTGAAGGAAGACAGTTGTATGCTGCTGATAAAGCAGACCCTCGAAACGGTCCTCCTGCACCACATGCACAAGATCCCCACCACCATTAATTTCTCTTAAGGCATGTGCTCTCTCTCGGTTTTCATCTTCTTCTCTTCTTTATTATTTTTTTCTTTTTTTGTTCTTGTCTATATCAATTTTCTTTAACTGTTAATTGAAAAAACCTCGTACCATATTATCCTCCTTAGGACAAGCTTGAAAAAAATTATAAGAGGTGGCAAATTAACCAAAAAAGAAAAAAGAAAAAGGTTCTCCTTGAAGGGCTAGGTGAATAAAATGCCCGTTAAGACTAAAACACCTTGGAAATTTTGGGAGGCCATGGCTCCTCCCCTCCGTTATTATCTTTCGGCCTTATTTTATTTCAAAATAATTGTTATTTCTAACTTTTTTATAAATTATAAAAATTTGTTGACAATTTTTATATTTACTTATATGCTTTTAATTTTGCAATATAATGATTATACAACTAGAATGCTTATGCCATCCTTTTCTTTTATGCTAATTGCAGGTAAGATTCTAAGAAAAAATGGGTGAAGGCATGGGATTTGTTCTGTGCTGCGTAAGAATTTAAGTTTGTATTTTATTATATGTTTAAGTATGTAATGTGTATTTGTATTGTGTAAATGTTTAAGTATTTATGTACTAGAATGCTTATGTGTAGTTGTTAATGTTTACTAGTATTTGAGTCATAAGTATGTGAGTGGGGTGGGTAATGAGAGAAGGTTACTTTTTATTGTACAAAAACGAAAAAAGATATGTAATGTGTATTTGTATTGTGTATAAACTCTTGTTATATATTTAAGTATACAATGATGTGCTGTATGAACTTAAATACGTATTTTGTAATATGATTAATTGTATTAAAGAGTAACATGCCACAGATACAGAAGAATACCCAAAAGAATATCAATCAAGTATGTACTTGTACCAAGTGGGTTTAGTAATGAACATCAATTTTTAGTGCCTAATATCAAAAGCTTGACATTGTAAATTTTCAAGTCAAAGTACAGATATAAACAAATATATAATCCATACCTATGTCTACTTACCGTATTGACATTAAATGGACTAATCCACTTATGATTGATTAATTTTAGTTTTGAAGCGTATTTTGCGTCAGCATCTTTTCACATTACTAAGACTTTAACCTTTGCATATATTTTGCAATGCCAGACTAATGATATTAACATCTTTTTCACATTGCGAAGACTTTAACTTTTGCAATTTGCAAATGCTAGACTAATGAGATCAACATCTTTTCACATTACTAGGACTTTAACCTTTGCATTTTTTGCGATACCAGACTAATGATATGAACATCTTTTCGCATTTACTAGGACTTAAACCTTTGCATTTTTTGCGATACCAGACTAATGATATGAACATCTTTTCGCATTTACTAGGACTTAAACCTTTGCATTGTGCAATGCCAGACAAAGTTACAAGCAATCTCAACCTTAATTTGCGTTATGCAGGAGCTTAAAAAGAAGGATCCTCAAAGTCCATCGTAAAGCATGACTCTAAAATTGAAAATATTATAATTATAATACCATGTAATATTATAAATTTACAACATAGTGTATCATTATATAATTGATTCTTTTAATTTAAAGATCCACTTATAATATTCTATATATCAACTAATTTAATATCACTTCATACTCATCTAATGTTATATAATTATTGTAAATTTACAATTTTACATTATATTGTAATTATAACATTGCTGACCCTAAAATTTCCCATGTTCTATTAGTGATTGTAAAGGGACTATGACACTATTTATATTTATTACTTATTGTTATTGCTTAACTTTAATTATTTGTTTTTATAATCAAAGTTTTTTTTGTCTACAAATTACTATTCTATAAAAAAAACAATAACCAACAATTATTTTAAATGATACTTATTGAGTTATTTCTACTCACATTCTCTATTTACCAAAAAAGAAAAAAGAAAAAAGAAAAAACCTGTAATGATCAACAAGAGCCATAAAATTTCTATCTACGCATATCAAGAAAGCTTTATCAAAAAACAAAGATTTACAACCATACATGACACATATTATGTGATGGTTAAGATAAAGTATAATAATAATAATAATAATAATAAAGGTAAATGCATATAATAAGTACTAGTACTAATTAATAAAAGATAGGGAATACATGATATCAAAGCGAGCTAGCCATTTCTGTCTGTGTCATGGCTATATAGATATCTAAGACTACATGAAACCCAAAAAAGTATTCCTCTTTTTTCTTCTTTTTCTTTCTCATCTCCCCATTTCCCAATTCTAAGAGAGGCAAAAACAGAACAGGAAAAGCAAAAAGAAGGGACAGAAAATTGGAAAAGGGGAAAAGGAAAAGGAAAAAGGAAAAGATAAGAGCAAGAAGAAAGAACGAGGAGTGATGGAAGAAGGGGCTAAGGAGAAAAGATGAAGAAAGAAAGCTAGAGAAAGTTATAAAAATCTCCAGGAGTTCAAAGAAGCTCCTGAGAACGCCAAAACTATATAGTTATTCTTGCTCAAATCAATAGCCAAATGACTTCAACTGCATTTTAATTTAGCCATTTTTTATTGTTTCTCATGTCTGCATGGAAACAATTAAAAACTATTTGTTTTATCAAACGTGTTGTTGAATCTCTCTTTCATTTTTCTTTTTCTTTCTCCAAAGGTTCTAGAAATAACCGTCACCACTCCATGCATAATGACATCCTCCCTTACTCCGTTTCATCCCTTCAGAATCTCAGCCTCGGTTTCATCAGCTAACAGTATGGAGGATCGATGAAGGCCCATTCAAAAACCTGCTCGTATTGTTTGGCAGCACTTTCCCATGTAAAGTCCCTCTTCATCCCTCTCCTCATCAATCCTTCCCAAGATTCTTTATGTTCTCTGTAGGTCAGTATTGCAGTCTTCACCGCCTGTTGTGGAAGGCATGGTAAAGGTACAAAAAGGGGTCAAGTAAATCTAAAAGATCATTATTGTACGTAGTGCAAAAAAGAAACTTGCACCCCCTAGGATGAAGTGTAGAGATATTTGATTTGCAAACTGAAAGTTTGATGACATTGATGTAAGGTTAAATATAGGTATTAGATGCATAATAAAGTGGCTTACCCCCACCATGCTTTCTTTTGTCAGTGGAGAGAACAACCACCTGTAGTCAGTGAATTTCGTAACATCAGCAAAGAACATTTTGATGACTACACAATACTTTCATATCGAACGATTCACAATCATGAATGCAAAGTTGAGGTCCAATTGTATGTTGTGTAGGAAAAGGGGGAGGAACTACATACCCTGTACCTTCTTCACCGCTAACTTGTTCAGCATATGGATTGAAATTCTGAACCGTATCCTGAAACAATGCAAGTTAGATACATTTCAAAAAAACTTAATGAAAGACAATGGCCAGAAGTCTCTTTACTGTTTTTAACTCACTCGAAGTCCTCCTGTGGCATGAACTACTGGTATGGTACCATATCTCATTGCATACAACTGATTTAACCCACAGGGTTCGAATCTTGAGGGCATCAACAGTATGTCACAACTGCTCATTTCAAAACTTTCAGCAAGTTATCAGTATTACTACTATCAATATGCTAACCAAAAAATAGAAAATTTTAAATACCCTGCAGTGATCCTGTGAGAAATTGGAACATTAAATCCAACCCAACCCCGAAATTTGTCTGTGTAATCTGATTCAGCCGTTCTCATCCAGTCTTCATACTGTGGGTCCCCAGAGCCAAGCATTACCTGAAACAAATTAGGAAGCTCAGTTACCAGAAAAGGAAATGCATTAAAACTCAACTGGAAAAGGCACAATAAGCACTGAAGTTTCATGCTTGCCAAATGTGAAACATCATGAATAAATGGAAAACTCACTTACAAATTGGACATCATCTTGCATGAGCTCTGGAGTTGCCAAACGTATCAGGTCAATTCCTTTCTGGTAGTCCAGTCTTCCAATAAATCCAATCTACAAAGTTCCCACTCAAATATAAAATTAAAGGAAACCCTATATCTTAACTTTGAAGTCTATACTCTATAGACCTTTGAGAAATCAATGTCATACCAAGGGAACTTCAGGCCTTACAGGAAGACCTAGTTCCTTTTGTAGAGAAATCTTGCATTGAACCTGCAGTTCAAAATCAATATGGTTGATCTAACTATGCTTTAAAACAGCTTTGTTTTTGTAAATAATGGCTCATTCTAGATACAAGAGAAGAGATTGACCACCTTTCCAGAGAGATCATCAGCAGTGTAATGGGAAGCAATATGCTCGTCTAATGATGGGTCCCATTCAACAACATCAATGCCATTTGTAATCCCTGATCAACAGTGGATATTTCACTCATGAAATTTTCAATAATAAACCACCTACCTTCTTCCTTAAAGATTACAAACATGACCACTGAGCAAGAAATATCCTACACATGATCAATGCAAAACATTTAACTTACAATGCTCTATTCCTCTCCAGAATGGAGCTTAGCCACAAGACTTACTCCAAGTTCAATATTAAAGTCATTCTAAAGCTGCTAGCCTAATGAGGGATGTTAGTCTCTCAGAGAGATTTAAAAATGGATTCTGACCTTCAAATATCTTAGCAATTCACCAGACAATTCCCCCACAAACATAAGATACTATTTAGAACAACGTACCATTGAGAACACTCTTTCGATTGCTTAATAGATCATGCAAGCCATATCCACCGTCAACAGTTGTTATTTCCCATGAATAGCCCTGCAATTAGAAATCGTAATATTAACAAAAAAGGACGTTTCTGACTCTTTAAGGTGCAAATTAAATCATAACAAAACAAATGCCCATACTATCTATTTTTTTCATAACCAGACCAATCAATAGTACGTTTCATTTTTGCTTTTTCTACCTAATGTTTTAATCAACAGGCAATAAAAAGAACCTTATACACATCCATGAAATTGAATTAGCATGATCATGATATAAGTTACCTCACTAACGGTCAGTAAGCGGTCAGCTGTAACAACTGCACCCTTCAAAATATTGACAGCCTCACCTGGGTCAAGAGCATGTGTCCTTGCCCATGGAGGGAACACCCATCCAAGTGCCCCATACCACTCAGGAGCCAATCCCAAATTTTTGTAACTTGCTGCAGGTTCCACTCCCTTGCACATAGGAAGTTCAGAAGATACTAGATTATTATTAACATATTTATTATGTCATGAGAATTATGACCTGCAGGAACCTAGAATGCAACATTCACAATGCTCCTCTCTGTGCTGCAAAAACAAAAATATGAGAACAACACAAAAGATGATTTTGAAAAAAGGCAATTACCTGATGAGCGAGGTTATGAATTACAAGAATGCTTCGAGCTTCCCTATAAACTCCAAATGGACGATATTTGGATGCCAGAAGCCTGAAATATGAGACTTGAAATCAACATTCAAAGAAGAATTGCCAGATCTACAAAAGGATAAGAATAATAAACTGTTATCTGATGTAAAATTAAGATATAAGAAAACAACTGGCAACGTGGGGAAGTTAAGCCAATCTCAAAATGAAGCAGCAAGTTCATAATAGGAAAAAGTAATGATTGCACACAATTCAATTCAACACCATTCTCAATGCTTATCGATTCAATTATTAAATTTTACAAATAAAAATTTTCCTCACCTTATATTTAAATTTAAAAATAATAATATTTTAATAAATATGTTATGAAGAGGGTTGAATTAAAAGGCATACCAATTTTTGTCTATAGGAAAATTATATTATTTTCCTTAGATATAATGTTTAGAAACAATAAACAAAAAAAAGAGAGAAGGGAAAAAAATTCAATTATAAGGAGAAGAATTTACACTGGCACTAGACCAGCATGCCAATCATTGACAAGGAAGAGACATTTCTCTCCATAGGTACACCCTCCCAGTGGAAGCACCAAAGGAGCTTCACATGCAGCATGACAAAGTAAAGTGAACCGAAACTGAAAAGGCAAATGATGGAAAACAATGTTATATTTTGCGAATGTAAAATGCCGCTACTTAAGCAATTTCAGGTCTCAACCATCATTCTAGAATAATGTAGCATACCTGGTTATCTCCAAAACAACCATGACTATCACCATAAGGATTTCCAGGTCTGTGGTATGAAGGATGGTCCACAAATACCTAATAAAGAAGGCTACCAAGGTAACTAAAAGATGAAGAAGATGCATAATTTTTGTTCTTGTAACTCAGATTGAGTGTAGATTCTTACCCAATCAACCCCGTCCCTATACTCATGAAAGAATGCAACCTCTTGTGCTCCTCCAAAGCAAAATACCATGATGCACTGATTTAAATCACAAGCACCAGAAAAGTTCTTTTCTGAATGAGTACCATTAAGGTAACGAGGAGAGACAACCATGACTCTATGTCCACGACGAGCTAGTGCTATGGGCAAAGAACCACAAACATCTCCTAATCCACCCGTCTTTGAATAAGGTGCTGCTTCAGCAGTGACAAAAACAACATTGTACGTTACTTTGGTCTTGAAAATATCTTCTTCAATTTCCTCGTATTCCTCTTCCATATCAATAGCTGTAACTTCATGAGAATTAATGACTTCAGTGCCCCCTGAAATTTCTGTTAATAAGATTTGCATTTAGCTCCTATAATTTCCTTGAATATTCTCACTTTCCTACAAATATCAACTCACATCCAAATAAAACTTTCCTAGAAATGTTCTGTCGGTTTTACACAAATTATGCCCTTTGCTAGATCAAACAGGCAATGAACAAGGCCAATTGAAATTAAATAATTACACTTTTCTGAACTTCTTCTTGTGAAGATCATCAACCCACATGTGCTGAGAGCATGAAACCAAACACTCAAGTCCCATGCACAGGGACTTGGATAATCAAGAAGCAAGAATACAGAAGCCCAAACAATAGCTGGTAAAATGGCTTAAAGATCAAAAGTAGTCACCATTTAAGAAGCTAATTATGGGTCATTAATTCATCCCATTTCATGGTGTATATCAAAGCTCATGTAATACGCATTAGCTACTCCTGGTGGGCTGCAATGTGCACTAAACACCTCAACTCCTGCCAAAGTTCAAATCTAATAGGGCAGTTGTAATCTTCTCCTTTCCCCCAAAATCTCCACTGGTTCAAAAAAAAAAAAAAAAGGCTCTTGTAATACTGTGACAGGGGTCTTGCCCTAGCTCTAATAATGGACATCCATAGATGATCGATCCAAAACCATTCCGTGGCTACATATAACTATTACTCACTATTACTCACATTCATTTAAAAGGTGAAAAGTATTGTATCAAACACTAGAAAAATCACATTGATTATAATTAATGATGACTGTAGCAAAACTATAGAGTGTCAAAAAAAGAAAAAATCTTTTGGCTCCTTTTCACTGTAGAGCATCAAGAAGAATAAAGAAACTGAAATAAAAAAAGAAAATCAAAGCAAACAAGAAAAAAAGAAAAAGAAAAAGAAATATCCGAGTTGGAGGAATGGAAGTACCAGAATGATGAGACCCCAGATTTAATCCAATGACAGAACCAGAACCGTCCCTCTCCATACCCAGGAAAATACCCTTCTCATTTTCCTCAGCATTAGAGTCACGATCCTCGTCCTTGGACCCACCAAACACCCCTCCATAGCCACCACCTCCACCCTCCTTCTTCAGAACCCTCAAAAACCCATTACTTCTGATGCTTCCCCTCCACAAAGAACCGAAACCCACTTCGCGCCTGGGTCTAAACATAAAATCCTGTGGGATTAAATTAATGGGTAGCTTACAGGAAACCACTTGATTAATTGCCAATGACTCCATGAAAAACAGAGCTTGAAGTCACAGAAAAAAGAGGAAGATGAATATGAAAAAGAGAAGGGAAGGGAACGTGAGTGACAGTTGAATGATAAAGTGCAAACCTTAAAAAGAAATCATTGATAAAGACAAAAAGAGCTTAGGAATCACATTCTTCTTCCCTTTGCTTTATTTCGAGTCATGATATACTGGCTGGGGTGAGGCGAGGAGAGAGACAGGGAGAAAGAGAGGGATACGAAGCCAAGTGTTTTAATTTTAAAAATAGGGGTATTGTGTCAGATCTAGATCCTGTGCAAACCGCCAAGATCGAGCCACGTCAGTCGACCACTCGGACTGCGTGACGTGGCGAGATTAATTAGGTTGACGTGGCACTGGCCACGGGTACAATGGGAAGTGAATATCTCGAACAAAGGTAGTGCAATTGGGGATATTTTTTATTTTATTTTTTTATATAATTTTTATATGTCATTATATATTTTTTCTGAAATAAAGTGTACTGTAAAAATCACTACGTTTGCTTTTATTGTCTTTCCCGAGAACTCTGACGTCATCTCTGCAAAACAAGATCCTTCTTGAACCGATTCTCTTTTTCATTTTTCTTTTTAGAAAGAATTTCGGTGCGCTGATAATCAGTCACTTGAAAAAAAAAAAAAAAAAGAGTTCGGTTTTGGTTCTTGAAAAATACTGATGAAAATGATATAATTATGATATAGGTTTATTTAAAGTGTGCAGATTAGATCTTATTAATTATGATATTATTAATTAATTTTACATTTTTTAATTTATATTTTAAAGGTAAAATTAAAAATTTTAAAAAAAATAAAAAATAATATTTAATTTATTAAATATCTAATTTAATTTATTGATCTAATAATGACATTAAAATTAATTGTTACTTTTATATGTTTCTATATAAATTTAATGTAAAAAGTTATTTTAACATGTGAGTAATGGTATAAATTAAAAAATTTATGTGTAATATTAAATAAACTTACAAAAAATAAAATTTTAAAAAGCTACGAAAGAAAGTTTCCTCTAACCAAGCAATCACTTAAAGCCTTGGAGCATATATGTGTCTTCGAAAATTGGTGGTATTATTGAGATAATTTTTTTATCTCATTTTTTTATATAATTTTTACATATTTTAAATAAATAGATACATTTAATATCATAAGTCTCATATGAATTAAAAAAATTAATTATTTTAATGACATATTTTATTATATAAAAAGTGAAATAAAAAATTATACAAATATCATTTCTCTTCCAAAAGTGATGGAGGCTTAGGTCTCAAGCAGCTGAAGTTTGGAATCAGAGTTAACTTAAGGGATCAACGGTATCAGAATGCTTAACCTCAGATTTTAGAGAGCCGGCCCTTGCATTGCTAATTTATAATTTTACACCAGAAAAATAGATGTTATATATCAATAACATAGCATCAAAGCTACACACAAGTTCACATAATTATACGTCGCAAAAAGAATATAATAAATATAACATCAAAGCCACCAGCATTGGCAGTTGATCACATGACATCCTTAACTCCACCTAAAATATTAACATAGATGGGACAAAACTCAAAAGTTCATTGGCCACGCACAGATCGATCAACCAAAATCATGCCTCCATCCATCAGCACCAACCGGAAACCTCCAATCTTCACCGCCGCTAGCGCTGGATTCTGGGCTCAGCCCTCTTACCCGTCTACCCGGCATCCGACCAGCATTGTGTCTTGGGCTTGGGCTTGGGCTCTTTGGTATGTGATATACTGGTGTTGTTCCCCCTCTCCCACCAGAACTCCATGAATCTGAACCTGATGCATTTTTAGTTGATGGGTTCCATTGGGGGACGTTTGTACCTTGTTGTTGTGACGGTTTGGTGGACCCTTGGGGTCTGACCTTTGCCTTTGCGGATTTGGTTGGGGCCATGTAGCTTGGGACAGGAGGTGAGATAGATTGCTTATGCTGTCCGTGTGGGTATGGACTTGAATGTGCAGGTGTCGCAGCTTCCATTTCCAAGGTCTTTTCAGACATGTCATCTGTGGTGGTGGTGGTGCTGGTTAGTGGTACATAAGAGTTGTCATGCAAGCCTAATTGACGTGCGTGATATGGTTGCGACGACATCCAGCGCTCCAGCCAGTTCCATCCCCATTGCGCCCTCTCTCGCTCGTTGGCTAAAAATCCAGCATCTTTTCCATAGGACATTGCCTCTGGTAGAGGAAGGACTTGCTGTTGTTGTTGCTGCTGTTGAGAAAATTTAGTATTAAATCATGAATATGGAAATTGTGTGTTTGAGATTTTACATCATTTTAATTACAGAGAGAGGAGTAATGTAATGTAAGCTTACCTGATAGCTATAAGCATAAGCAAGTGCTCTTTCCCTTTCCATTACAGATTCATGTTTCCATGAAGCACTTCCTTTGTTTTTCTCTACATTCTGATATGCACCAGGATGACCTTCATACTTCTTCAACGGGCTCCTAAACTTTTTCTCTACTTCATCATAGTCTTCTTTTTCTTCCTCCACTCCTTTCTGAAGCTTATCGTGAGTCAGTTGGAGCCTGCGAGCTCTAACTCTTGCCTGCACTCGCACTAATGCTTGCATGCACCTCATTGTCATTTGCGCCTGCTTCCGAACATTGTAGCCTCTTACCAATGCCTGTAGCCTCACCAATCCCTTCAAAGCACGCAATGCTCTGCGAGCCTACAAAGTACAAAACCAATCATATACTTACAATTTAAACGAGGGGAATTACAAGGAGGAATTCAATGGCTATGAATGAGATACAGAATGATGCTAATTACTAGGTAGCCTCTGTAGTATGACTGAATGAGAGTAGCAGCTCTTTCTTCCTTGGACTGGCGGCCATAACCTGCCAAGCGAACAACTTTTGCTGCAGCTTGAGCTGCTGCAACAGCAGCCTCCGCTGCAGCAGCAGTTGCCACAGCAACAGCAATGGCATGATTTCTATCCTCATCTACCGGAGATGATGCTGTGCTCTCATCATTTGTTTCGTCTGGAGAACTCTCTGCTGGAAAATGCTCGAAGGACACTACTTCTGGGGCCTCATTTTGCCATTTCACCCCGCTCTCTTTCTGAAAAAAACAAACAATGATTATAACACTACATCCAATTGATGAAATTCATCAAAAAAAAATTTTTTTATCAAGAATTCTAATTTTAGTCCTACCAATCAAAGTTCAGGGTGCTTATAATTGTTATGGCATGATGGGGATCGATCTAACGCATCAAGCACATTATGATCAAAGATGAGTGATGGGATAGCGTAGGTGGCATGAAAGTAACATGGGTGGCATCTGCCCCCAATGGGTTGTTTCAATTGTACAAGATTTCAAGATAAAAATCTTAAGCCCAACTTGAATTTGGGAAAGGGAAGGACCCACACATGTGTGGCGTCTTAAGGAGCTTTAGTTTTTGTTTGGCCGGTGGTGTCTTAAGGATCTTGAAAATGAAATAGTCAATACAAAATATAACCAAAGCAACTAACATAAATGCACTTAATTGCTTTAAAATCAAGCAATAAAATTACTTGATCATGAGGAACACCAACCTAAAAGCAACATTTCTGGAAGATTACCTTTTTCTCAGGCAAGTCCTTAGAAGATGATTTGAACACTTTCTTCACCGTCGAGAACCACCCACTTCCTTTCTTCCCCATCTCCGGTAAAAGCAAGAGCTTTACAAAGGAAGAAAAATTTTCAGAGAAAACAACCCTTAAAAGATATCAAAATACAATCTGAAACTCAAAAAAAGCTCTAATCTTTTCAGAGAACATCGTCAATTCCAAGAATTCAAAATACATCCAAACCCATAATTCATAAACCTTTCTCAGAGAAATTTTGATCCAAACTGCTCTATTATACAGCACTGAGAAGGCTTTCCTAGTTAAATTAACGAATACCTTATATGCTTTGAAAAGACCTTCATTGTTTGGCCAAAAATATGCTTTGAAAAGGAAAACTCAAAAGACCCATGAACGGAAAACAGCAGAAATAAAGAGAAAGAAGACGAAAACCCAAGAAAAACACAGGAGAGCCTACAAATTTATATACAAACGCATCTTTCAGAAACAAGAAGAACAGAAACCCCATAACCAAAACATGAAACGGAACAAAACCTGAGACAAAAGCCAGTTGATATAAGATCAGACGTCTCGAATTCTGTTCAGCTCCTCTATAGAGCATTGGACATGCATTTCCGGCATGGAAGTTTTTGGTCGGAGAGGGCGTGGGAGAAGGAGAGAGTCTTGTTCTGAATCCTTAGTTGTGAGACAGAGGGAAGATAGTAACTGCAGACCCGCGCAATCGCCGAATGGATTTATCGTATTCACGGGGGCGTTTACCTCAAACGTAACAGCACCAGCTGGCGACCTCCCAATCAGGTTCCAACACGTCATCCACGATCATCCATGTTTAAATGCTCATATATATTTTTTTTCGCACATCAAAATTTTTTTT